ATTCAACAAACACAGTTCAAGTTCCTCAACGAAAAAGAAGAATTCATTTTCTTTTTGTTGTTTCTGCTTTACAAGTTTTGCTTATGTATTATCTTATACATAATGCTTAAAAACAAAAATAAAGAATTTTATTTTTATTTAACTTTCAGGGTAATGTACTGTGCTTTGTATATATAATAATATACGGACATGCTGCAACAGAAGCGAACATTATGTCAAAAAGAACTTTAGGAGTTACATTACAAATTGTGTTTACCGCCTATTGCGCATTTACTACTACAATTCCATGCTTGCATGATTTTGGAACTAGTAACAAAATCAACAAAACCAAATTAACCAAAAGTGAAGGCATCAAAAACCAAGTATAATATTTATCCAAAAAGATTTTTTTTTTTTTGGGCTGGGCAATATCTGCATTTAATTCAATCTAAAAATGGGAAAGCAAGGACCCAGATTTTGTGGGCAGAAAGGGATAAATATTCCCTTGTTAAAATACAGTTCAGTGTTTTGCTTTTCATCAAAAACTAGCAGTGATGCTTTTTCTTCTAGGGATTGATTGGTTTTTCAATATTTTTAAAGAAAATAATAGGAACCTCACTTCAATAAGTTATCAAGCCAAATCCCAAAAGAAGCAAAAAGTAAACACTCTTGAATTAATTATGCCGTTTTTTTTTTTTTGATTAATTAGATAGATGTCTATTAATCATATCTTCAAGTATTCTCATTTTCTAAAAAGTCTAATAAACCCAAAGAATATATTTATTACTTGCACCATTTAAAAATTTAAATTTTTAATGGTAAATAACGTCAATTTAATAATCTAAAACTTTTCTGGAATGGTAGAATGTTAAAAAAGAAGAAAAATCAAAAACCATATCCTCAAGTCCATCAGAAATGTCAGGAACAGAAACGGAGTTGTCCGTTGGTGGTTTCGATTATCGTTTATGAAATACCATTTCTGACTCTTCTGCGAAAAAAAATAGAATTTGTTCAAACCGCTAAAGTTGTTCTGCCTACGAAAGTGAAGAAGGCAAACCAAGCAATTAATAATGGGATACCAAAACTCTTGACAAAAGATAAATAAGCTCACAAAGTATGGCGTACTGGAAAAGAATCATAAATCTACTTAATGAATTTAAAGAATAAAAAAAAGAAGCGTATTCTTGTACAAAACTAAAGAATATCGCAAGGTGTTATTAAAGTATGGAATAAACTGGACTCCGCATTCAAACCACCAGGTAAGTTTGGAATTAGCAAACAGTAAGATTGTAAGTTTAAAGCCGACTTATATTTTTCTATAGAAGCGAAGATAACGACAAAGAGTTACAGCAGTGCATAAACCCAGAATGTGAACATAGGTCCAATAACGAAGCCGTACGTTGTTCGTATATTGAGACGTTATTACATGCGTTCGTCTATATTGTCAAAAGAATCACTCTAGATCCTTAGTTCAAAGACATGGGCGACGAAGCAACAGGTCGAATCTACTATGCGAAGCACTTATTTGTATCACAAAATGAAGACAGGAAGAATTGATCGCGGGTTTTATGCAAAATATAATGAAATGTGGAGGTTTATACCAGACAAATAAGAGAAAACGAAAAGTGAATGAGACATTTGACGAAGAATTGTAATTTATCTTTTGCCAAAGTATCTGTGATAGATATAACTCTTGACTTCCTCAATGTTAGCATCGGGTTGGTATTTCATCTTGTATACACCAGAAAAAAATTATTGTACAAAGACGGATTACCACATTGCACTCATCAAAGACACTTAGAAATGACGCGAAACTTCGTAAAGGTGTGAAAACAGTCATGGAGGTAATCATGGGTTTTTTGTAGTACAGGGATAGCGTAGATGATTTCCCGCTAGTAAAAAGGCTAAAACGGAAAAATACAGCTCGAAAGAGGAAAAAATATATAATCGATGTCATGTACACGGACTGATGTAATATTTTTTAGTGTATGTGCTAATAAAACAGACCCTCGGATCAATCCTTCACTTATGGGTTAACCTTTGTTATTTTTCCGCATGGTGTGAGGTAGTTGGAGCTAATATTTCTTGATTCAGCTTTGTCTTTCGGCTGAAAATATTTGGAGCTTTAATAGAGATCAAGATTTACATTAATGATCAGAGTCCCGACCTTATGATTTTTGTTTCACAAGGTCTATAATTCAAATTCATTTCACATAAGAAAAAGTGCAAAATAATTGTTTATGGTTTTTTTTTTCAACGAAACAAACAAATAATTAAACGAGAATAATCCTGCTGATAAAAAAAATTAAAGGCTGACAGTTTATGCGCCTATTCCATATTTTTGTGCTAATTCAATATTTTTTGTAATTTAGAATCATTTGTTTAAAGAAATTATCAATTTAATATAGTTTTTAGTCCGCAAACTCATTATATCACATGAATTTTATTGATTATTAAATTAATTTTTGGGTAATTATTTATTATTATTAGAACATTTATTAAAAGAAATTACAATGATTATATAAATAAAATTAAATTAAATAAATAATTTAAATTCCTCTAGCTTTTAAATATTCGTTATATCTTTTTTCAAACAATTGGCGTTTTCTTTTTGTAGGTGCAGCAGGTGCAGGCGCAGGTGCAGCATTTTGTAATGGATTATGGATTGGTTTATTTATACAACCACCAATTGTCTTGACATTGAAATCTTTGCCAGTAACTATAGGGAAGATTTTAGGAGCCAAGTCAACAGTTTGTTGATAAAGATCATGTTCTAATGAGATATGACCAGCTTTAGCTGTAGCGTCATCAGCCCATGCAGTGAAATTGTTGGTGATATAGTCGACTGGGTATGTAGGATCCTGTACAACCATCCAGTCGAAGGAATCGAACTCCCATAATACAATTGTGTAGCCTAATTGTTTAGCTATATCTCTAACACGATCATCGAAATCACCTTGTGGTGGTCTAAGTACATTGGGAGTTACTTTGGCAGTTTCTTGGATTGCACGTTCTGTCCATTTGATTTCGGCGATAATTTGTTCATTAGTTTGAGTTGTCAAAGGTGTATGTGACCAAGTGTGAACACCAATTTGATGACCTGTTAATAAATTATAATTAATTGTTTATGATGTGTGTGTGCATGGTTGTAATGTGATATTTGAAATAAACTGACTGAAAAAAATACTTACCAGAATCAACAGCTCTTTTTAATATATCAGGGTTGGATATAACACGTGAACCTACAACAAAGAAGGTAACTTTGACCTTGATTGTATCTAAATAAGTAAGCAATGTTGCAGTGGCATTTCTATTAAATAATAATTTATAGAAAAAAAAAACAAATTTAATTAATAATTTTAATAATGTAAAATAAAATAATAGTGATAGATGATGATAATACTCACGTAGGTCCATCATCGAAAGTGAATGCCCAATCTAATTAATTAATTAATGTGAGAATTGGTTAGTCGGTGATTAAGAGTCAATTAAAATTTATTATTTAAATAAATAAACCAAGATTACCTTTAATGGTGGGGCAGGTGGCAATATCTCCAGGTTTAAGACATTTTGTACAAGTCCATGAACAAAAGTTATCAGGAGTGGTACAATCGCCGACAGCTTTAGCGACTGGAGCTTTTGCTACTTTAGTAAGGTCAACTAAGCCCTTCCACTCATTGTCAAATGGTGGAGGGACATCGATTGGGGGCCATTTTATTGATACTGGTGGTGTTTGACAATTAACAAAGTTTGTTGTTGTTAATAATAGGACAATTAAAATAGTTGATGTAAAATAACTGATTGAAACCATTTTTATTATTATTATTATGTAAAAAAATTGAAACAAAGAAAAGGAGGAAAAGATGGAAAGAAAGAAATGTATATATTTTTTTTTAAAGAAAGTAATTTGATGATAATGAGGAAGTTGAGGAAAAGGAAAGGTGTTGAGGAAAAGGGAGTTGAAGAGAAAGAAATAAAAAATTAATTAAAAGATTTTTTTTTAATTCACACATTTTTATAATTAATAATTTCAATTTTATTTGGATATACAAGGCAGTGAAAACCTTTTTGTCCAATGTAAACAGTAATTTATTAAAAAGTATCACACAAAACACAATAATTTATATATTATTATTGTATAAAACTAGTTGTTCGATGTACTTGATCAATCAAATGTGTGCGCATATCTCACTTTTTCGAGATTTATTATATTACTATTATTATGCATGTAGAGAAAATTCTTGGTAGTTTTTCCTAATACTAAAACCACTCTTTATTGCCAAAAAATATTATTTTTTTCTTGTATATCAACATAATTAATGTAATAAATATAAACGAAAGTAAATAAATACACAAGTGACACAACATGAAATTTTTCTCTTTTTAGGTGAAAATACCTTCATCACTCATAAATTAGAACGAATTAATATTTTTTTCCAAAAACAATGACGAAAATACCTGCAACCTATTTTCATCATCAAAATAAAATGGAAATTAACAGTTAATATTTTCTCAAACAAAATCAAAAAGTAACAATCAAAATTTTATGATGTTTATTTTATTATAATAGCAATGATAGACGAAATACTCACGTTTCTTCAAACTATGGTCAATCTGATTTAAATCATCAATTGGTTTTGCTAAAGCGACAACAGCAAAGATAATCAAGAAGAGAAAAAGGGAGGCATTGAATTTTTATTTTGATGGCTAAGTCAGCCCTCACTTTTCCTTTTCAAAATTATGTGAATTTTTCGGTTATTCTTCGTGATCAGCGATCTCGGTCTTTTTTTTAGATAAATGATGTGTCGGCCGTTTAACCTGACCTGCATAAAATCGATATCAGATATATTTTCTATATTAATATATACATAATTCCATTTCACAAGCCTGTCATTTACTTGCCCCCAAAATACTAATACCCGTAGTGAATAAAAGATAAAAGAAAATAAGGTAATAGTGATAATAATACTAGTAAACCGTGTCAGTTGATGATTAATTGAATAACAATAACAACAACAATATTATTATTATTAGCAGTATTAATAATGAACTATTTAATATTCGTAATGATTTTTATTATTATGACTATTATAACAACTATTATTGTGACTATTGTTATTATCCCTTTTCCTTTTCTCCCACAAAATAAAGAGCGTAGAGTGGAAAAATCTAGCAGCGGTTCAAAAAAACAGTTTATGTGTTAATAATAAAATATATTTAAAATAAAAATTATCTTGCAAGTAATGTTTATCCTTGGTTTCTGATCTTCTAAAAGGGCGATTAGAAAAGGACGTGACACAGTTATAAATGGCTGGTGGGTGCCCCGGTCCTTTTCTAACTGCACTTTTTTTTTACATCTGATACTTAAAGCTTGTATTTTTATTCTAGGCAAGCTTAAAAATCAAAATTGTTTGGCATAACCTGGGCCAATGAAATAAAATTGCATGACAATTAAACCATAAAATTTAATTTAATTAAAGGAAAATAGTCGGCTTTACGAAATAATTTCCTTTTAAAAACAATGCTGAAAACCCTATCAAAGCGGTTAATATTGGTAAATAGAGTTGTTTTAAAATAAAATTTTTTTTTTCGACTTTTGATTTTGAAGCTATGCGTAATAGTAAATATTAAAGTGCACTGATCAATATTGGTGATACGTAGTACGAGTTTTGAACTTTTAAAAGTGTCAAAATAAAAAAAAACAAAGAATGCTAAAATTATTTATTATTGAATAACAATGAACCAATCACTAAAGTTTGATGTTTTTTTTATGTTGAAGTTATTCTTTTAATAATGCAATTTCAAGATTTATATTAATGATTTCTTAAAATAAAACTAAATTATTATCACGAGAAAAGAATTGTTTGTTACACATCCGCTAATAATATTAAAACCTCCTCTATTATATTCATTAAAAAAAATGCCAAAATGTCATACAATAAATTATTATCGTTAGAAAGAAAGGAATTTGTACTTAAAATTTATAATGATATGTATAATTGTTTAATTCTTGGTATATGTAAACAAGGTTTACAACTACCAATCTTACCAGGAATGCATGATGATTATGCACAAATGATGCGAGATGTTGGATGTGAATCAATCAAAAAGACCAACTAGTCTAAAGCCTTTTATTTTTGCTGATGATAAATCGAAAGAAATTCTTAATAATAATAATAATAATAGTAATAGTAATAGTAATAATATCACTACCGGCGATAGTATTATTTCACAAAAAGTACATAAATCACATCCGTGTGCATATAATACAAGTAGAATATTAGATGAAGAGATTACTAAATCTAAAATCTTAAAAGATTATTATTATATAAATCATGGTAGTTATCAAATGATCTTGGTTTTTTAACTCTATCCTTTTAAATGCTGAAAACTGGAAATTGTTATCCATTAGTTATTACCAAAAAAATTTTTTTTTTTATTCTGATTTAATTAATTAGATTCCAGTAATAATAGTAAAAAAATAATTGATGAATGACTAATTTATTCTCCAGTATAAATTTACTCATTATATCTTTATTTCGAAATAATAAAATTTTTGATTCTTGTTAAATGATGGTGGCATTGCAAGGTGGCCTTTCGTTTAATCCTGATTATTTAACACGTATGGCTTAACTTTTGGGCTACTCTTGTTAGTTAATTGCAAGCAATATACTATAATTCTGCACTTGTCAGTTAATTACAAATTTACTTTGGTTCTCGCTTACTGCCTTTTTTCTTGTATGTAAATCTATAAATACACTTTATAGGATTAATGATACCAGATAAATAAACAAAGTCGGCTCTTTTAAAAGGTTCAAAGGCTTTTATAAAGTTCGTTTTATTCGTTTGTGCCCCCTTGTTTATATTTATTGGCCAATTGCAAACTTTGACTTATAAACCAACCTAAACAGTTTGTCTTTAACAGCCTTACGTTTACAATTTCCAATATTTACAATTAACCTTTGGGTAATACTTCACTAACCATTGTTAGCACTTGCTAATTAACCAATGTTGGCATTAAACCTTACTTACTCACTAAAAGTTACCAATCGTTGTTAACACTCACTAGTTAACCAACATTAGTACTAACCTTTGCTTACTCTCTAAAGAAAATAAAGCGTGACTTTTTACCAAGGCAACCCACTTGTTGCTTTAACAAAAACACCCTAAACAAAGAAACTAAAGACAGCATTTTTGTTTTTTTTTAAGTATTGGTTTCATTTAAAATTACAAAGTTTTATTTTATTAAATTGTTAATTGTGTATTTATTTTTCCTCTGTTCTTTTCAAGCGAGAACTTGAAGTTGTTTCTAAAAAAATTATGTTTTAATAAAAAAATTTGACCTAATAATGTCAAATGTAAACATTAAACATTAATATTTGAAAGTTAGTTTTATCTATTTAGAATTTATTTTATACATATTTTAAAATAAATAATTTCTTCATGTTATGAAACTTGTTAATAAATAAAATTGCACATATGTGCTTATTAGTAGGTGGGCAACTACTTTAAATTGTTGTATCTATTTATATTTCTATATATGTATTTTTTTAAAATATTTATTTTTTTATTTTTTATTTTTTATTTTCCTCTTATGTATTGTTATTCAATTGTTTTGTGCCTAGACCAGTCTTTAATGAACCAACTGTGTATTGCTTTGTATTGGATTTGTTTTGTATCTTCAAGGTTGTTGTTGTTGTTAGTGTGATTATTGGTAGTAATTGGCCCAATCCCTACTATGTTTGCGTTTTTTCATTTTTTGTAATTTTCCCATTCTATAAGTTTTTTATTTCTTTCTTTCCATTCATCATAGAATTCTTGGCAATTAGTGTGATAATTTTATTTGTTTTTTGTTTTTGAAGATGTTTTTGATTTTTTTGTAATTGTTTGTGTAATTATTTTTATGCCAAGTGAGAAAACTAGATTCTTTAGATCAGTGTTATCAGTTAATTGTTTTATTAAATTGGTTTTTGTGCTTAGGGTTGCTTTGTTGGAATAATATAATTTAATAATTTTATCTATGTTGTTGATAAAGTTTTCTTTGTACGTTTGATGTGATATCTGAACGTCCTTTGTTTAGTATGTTCATTGTAGGCAAGTTTTTTGTGATAGCTTTAATTTAAACATTAATACTATTCATATTAAGTATTGTTTCTATACAACAGTAAAAAAATAAAGAAACCAACGTGAAATTGTAGAAAAAATGTTTATTTCTTCTTTTGTTATTACATCTCATAAAATGAAAAATATCAAATCGCGTTCGAATTGTCTTTAATGTCTGAGTTGAAACACACATAGACAGGTTAGACCAAACGATTATTGACAATTGCAGTCTTGGCCTCTTAAATAATGGCACAGTTAAATATTTGACGCCAAGGAACGCTTTTCGATATTAATATGCGGTTTAAACCAGATTTTCCTGCAGGTGTTGAAAGTTCTTCCAACACGTGTGGTGGCATCTTCCGTGAAACCCGGGCAGAAGATTTCTATAACACCGACACAACGAACAATTGTTTTTAAATTCGGTCTTATCCGGTTTGTTTCATAATCTAATTGCAGTAATATGATTATTTAAAAAATAAAAATTATAAAAAAAAATTTTTTTCTAAATTAATAAATAAAATAAAATATTTACTTGAGGATAAAGGAATGATGTGGGATTGGATCGGTTGTTATCATTAGAGCTAAGTAAATACAAATAAAAGTTGGTCACCAAACACTATTAACTTATGATAAACTTATTATCGCTCTAATAACACTTACACTTTTGTGACTGCTAGTTTGTTTTTGTTTTCCTCCCGTTGGTTACTCGTTTTTTAAAAAACAATAATAATTTTGTAACACAAAAAATTACAGAACATTGTTTGGTTATTAAAGATTTTCTTGAATTCGACATATTTGTAAAAGCCAAGTATAATAATAATATACTCGTACAAGAAAGGTTTATGGTTTTTCCTTATTTGAATTTCTTTTGGTTAATGTGAATTTACTTGAAAAAATTTATAACCCTTATACGTATCATCACATTGTCTGTGTAACATAATTTAAAAATGAGAATAATTAATATTAATATAAATATTATAATTAATAAAAACAAACAAAAAATACATTAAAACTGTACTCCATTAATTTTTATCAGTGTTCCATTTGATGAAAACGTAAGAACTGATATTGTAACAAGAATATTTGTTGTCTGGTTTTCTTGTCAGAATTTGCGACAACTTTCCATGAGTTATATTCTAAATTCGTTTTCGATGATTGAGTGTATATGTATGGAATATGAGGTTATCAGGAAATTCTATTTTTCAATTCCTGGATGAACGATAAAAATAATATTTTAAATACTTCTTTTTTTATTAGTTAAATAATAAATAAAAATCTAAACTTCGAATGGTATGAGTTACATGGAAAAGCCTTAATCAGAATAATGTTATTACATCATTTAATCTTCAAAATAAATAAAAACATCAATGAATTTAAAGTAAAAACATACTTTGAGCAAATCAATGCTTTCCTAACCAATAAGTATATACAGTATAGCAAAGAGGTTACCAATCACTTTCACAAAATCTTAGGCTGATATGGGTGTAATAAAGTAGTTTGGGACTTGGAAATTCTTTGAGAGGCTGGCCCAATTCACTTTGTACATTTGGGATTTGAGCAGCACGTGTAACTTAAACCAATATGTTTCCTTGTATTTTTTAGAATTAAGCTAAAAATTTATTATGAAAGTTTTGCTATTTGGTTATATGAACTACAATGCTTTTTTCCTATTTATGTTTCAGCTTTATCTAATCCAACCTAAATATTCATTGATAAAACTTATATGTTAATTCTTGAAGCACTACAACTTGAAGTTCTCAGAGATCCAAATAAAATCCATTATCAAACCCTGCAGGAATTCTATGTGTATCAAATATTTCAGCTGCGGGAATACTCATTTGGTATGTTGCAATGCCAGCCACATTACAAAGGGGATAATTATGATCACCATTAGATGAATCAATACATCCAACACCAATAAAGTTATCAGGAGGAACACCCATACCATTATTAATATTAGTAATATAGGTCACAGTATTCTGATGTGGACTTGCTGTTCCAAAAGAGATGATACGAACTGGAATCAATGGTGTTAAACTTGTACAAAGGCATAACACAACAACTAATACAATAGTATGGTCTACATGAAGTTCAAATATCTTAACCATTAGCACAATTTGGATGGTTGTTTGCTGAGAAAAGAAAAGAGCTACTTTTTGATAAAGGCCAGGAAAACTCTGAGTGTGGCCAACTTCAATAATCATTGTTGGGGTATACTGTTCTAAGGTTATTTGCTGATATTCTTCCATGAGAATAGGTAGGTACTTCATATTCCATAATTTTTTATCTTGTAAGTATAGATGGGGTATGCAGAATTTAGAGGTAAATAATCTCGATTTGAATATTCTCAGCATGCTTAGAAATCAATTGGCTTGTTTTTTGAATATTATATGTATAGCTTTATTAACAAAAAATCAAAGAAACATAAAAATAAATAGACAAAATAAATGGAAATGAGTACACCCATTATTCGGGATCTACCGTTGAACTTCCTGTACAATTTTGTTAATGGCGCACAAGGTATCAAAGACGTATTAATATACAAGATATTCTGTAGAATACAATAACATGAAGGTTAGAAATTTTATGGGTAAGTTAAAACCCGTTTAGACGCGGAGAAAGAATACCTACTCTCAAAATCAACAAGGTCTCTCTATAAATTTAGCCACGACAACCGAATAAGATTGTTGTACCGGAACTTTTGACTCGTTTAGATGGTAATATATGTCAATGTTAGCCCGATTTCTCAAAAGAATATTCAAATATAACATCGATCCTGCTACTTGTAATCCAATAATTCCAAACTTGTCCTTCTCGGGCTTGCAACCTTTGTGGATTAATGTCATCCCATCGTTTGTCTCATGACACAACTTTACAGTATCATCATCCTTCTTATTGTTTTGTTGTTTGTAGAAAATAATCACTATAGATAAGTTCATAATTTTTCGGTCCATAATAATAATAACAAACATGATAAATATCCGGGGTTCCTGAACTACCCCAGAAATCATTTTTAGAGAAACATGTAAAAAAGGTTATGATCGTCATGATAAAAAATCTTGTAAAAAAAAAATGGGTAAAAAGAATAAAAAAGGAGGAAAAGGTATAAACTTCAATAGATTAAACAATCAATTCATTTGCCTAGCAAAATATCAAATTGTTATAATTATTATTTTCATAAAATCAATAGGACGTTTGGATAAGTATTATCATTTAGCAAAGGAACATGGCTATAGAGCTCGTTCAGCCTTCAAATTAATACAATTAAATAAAAAGTATAATTTTTTAGAAAAATCAAAATGTTTGATTGATCTTTGTGCAGCACCTGGTGGTTGGTAAGAAAATGAGTATATTTTTAACTTAGTAGTGGCAAGGAAGAAGCAAAAAATGTTTAATTATATATAATAATAGGTTACAAGTGGCTAGTAAATACATGCCTATGTCAAGTTTAATTGTTGGTGGGTGGAATTATTGCTCTTTTTTATTAATTTCAAAAAATTTACTTATTGATTTTTTTTTTAAAAATTAGGAGTTGATCTTGTACCAATTAAACCAATACCAAAAATTATCACTTTACAAGAAGACATTACATCTGAAAAGTGTAGAAGTGCTTTAAGAAATCAATTAAAAACATGGAAAGCTGACGTGTAATTATAAATTAACATTATGGTTAAATGATTAAAGATTAAAAATCAATGATAAATTGATATCATAATTATCATAAAAATCTTATTTAATACATATCACTTCATTAATTTCATTTTATTATTAATGATTTAGCGTGTTACATGATGGTGCTCCAAACGTTGGTATATCATGGATACAAGATGCTTATTCTCAATCAGAGTTAACTTTAAAAGCATTGAAATTAGCTGTTGAATTTTTAACTAAAGGAGGTAATTATGCACACAAATAAATAAATGAAATTATGATTATAAATTTTATTATGTTATGTATTTACAAATCTAATTACTATTTATTCTAGGAATATTTATAACAAAAATTTTTAGATCAAAAGATTATAATAATTTATTATGGGTATTTAATCAATTATTTAATAAAGTTGAAGCAACCAAACCTGCTTCTTCGAGGTATTTTTTTATTTTTTTTATATCTTTTGTTAGTGTAATAAATTATTTGATGCATATCTCATATTTTTACATATATTTCATATAATATAGAAATGTTTCAGCAGAAATTTATGTTATTTGTAAAGATTTTATTGCACCGAAAAAAATAGATCCAAAATTCTTAGATCCAAAATCAGTATTTCAAGATATAGATTCCACGCCATCAACAACAACATCATCATCATCAGCAAAGAAATTTTTAAATCCAATTTTAGATATATTGCATCCTGAAAAAAAGAAAAGGCAGAGAGAGGGATATGAAGAGGGAGATTATACTTTGTATAAAGAAATTTCAGTTTTGGAGTTTATTAATACTGATGATCCTGTAAAATTACTTGGCAGTGTTAATAAACTGAAATTTGATGATGACAGTCAAGAGTGCGTAAAATATTAAATCAAATTTATTTTTTAATATTTAATTTATTTACTTGCTTACTAACATAATACATTTGTTTATTAGATTATTAAACCATGAATTGACTACCGAAGAGATTAAATTATCTTGTGAAGATTTAAAAGTTTTGGGTAGAAAAGAATTTAAAAATTTAATAAAGTGGAAAAATAATATGGAAAAATTAGTAAGTTTGTAATCATCATAATTATACGTATTATTAAAATAATAATAATAATAATAATAATATGTATGAATTGTTCTAATATATTTATTTATTTTAGAGAGAAGAAAAAACTAAAATTGAAAAAGTAGAAGAAAATGATCAAGAACAAGAATCGATGGATGAAGATGAATTGATTCAAGAAGAAGTAAACTGAATATTATATTCATATTTATAAAACCCTCCACTTCCTGACATTCAATTGAATATCTTTTATTTATTAGCTTGAGAAACTTACAAAAGAGGAATTAGCACGCAAGAAAAAATTACGTAGGAAAACGAATGAAAAACGTCAAAAAAATACGATTAAAATGCAATTGAAAATGATTACACCAGTTGATATTGCATTAGAAGATTCAATTAATGGTGGTGATGACAGCTTATTTGATCTAAAACTTATCAATAAAACAGGAGTATGATTATTTCAATATATATATATTTATTTATTTATTATGTATATTGTTTATAACAATCAATAATAAATAATTAATATATATTTTTAATAACCAGGCTATCGATAATATTAGAAAAGGTGATATGGACATTATCCTGGACGACGATGATTTTGCAGATGATAATGATATTGTAATTGATAATGATAGTGATAAAAAAGAATTAAGAAAGAATAAAGGCGATGATGATGATGATGATGATGATGATGATGATGATGATGATGAAAGTGATGATGATTCTCAGAACTTGGAAGAAGAATTGGATAATATGTAAATAATTTTCAAATAAATGTTTAAATATATATTATTTATTAATTAATTGTATTAATACTATTTTTTATAGGTATGAGCAATATATAGAACGTAAACCATTAAAGCCTTCAAATTCCTATCCCACTTTTGAAAAATTATCTGACAGTGACAATGATGATGATAAAGGTGACAGCGACAGCGACAACGATAATGATGATGATGATGATGATAACAGTGAAAGTGATAATATCAATGATTATGATGATGAAGATATGGATGAATATGAAAGTGAAAATGAAAGTGAGGATGAGAATGAGAATATTGTTAAAGATGAGGATGATAATGTTGACTTGAAAATTATTACAAAAAATAAGTCAAGTGAAAATATTGAAAAGAATGGAACAGTCAAGTCCAATGGAAAATCATTAAAACGTAAAGCTGCTGAGGTAAAATTAAAATTAAAAAATATTTATTATTTATTTATTAGTTTTTATTTTTAAAAAAATTTTTTTTTAATAGATTCAGGATGATGATAATGACGAAGATATAGAAATAGTTCCTGTTGATAAAGACAGTGATGAAGAAATGTGGGATGCCAATATACCTGACGAAGATGAAAAAAAGATGAAAAGAGCCCAAAGTAACCATTGCCTATAAAAAAAAAATATTTTTATTCTTAAATTCATTGGGGGTTTTTTTTTAAACCGAATACATGCCTTTTTATTATGTAGAAATTGGATTGATTACAGCAGAGGCAATAACACTTGCACAGCAATTAGTAAATGGTAAAAAGACAAAAGAAGATTTGATTGATGATGGATTTAGAAGATATGTTTATAATGATAAGGAAGGATTACCATTATGGTTTGCTGACGATGAGAAAAAACATAATAAACCAAATCTACCAATCACTAAAGAAGCTGTAAATGTCATTAGAGAAAGAATGAAAGCTTTAAATGCTCGTCCTATAAAAAAGATTGCAGAAGCCAAAGCAAGGAAAAAGATAAGAGTAAGTAGTCATAATTAAAGTTGATATTTCTTTTTAAAAAACAATAACTAAATATATTTTTGAAATCAAATAAAAAAACTTGCATATAGATTGTTAAAAAACTCAAGAAATTACAAAAGAAAACTGATGCAATAGCAGATACTAGTGACATGACAGAAAAAGAAAAGGCCAATACAATTTCTAAAATGGTTGGTAAAGTACAAAAGAAAACTAAAAAAGATATTAAACTGGTTGTTGCAAAAGGTTCTGCTAGGGGTATTAAAGGCAGACCAAAAGGAATCAAAGGAAGATACAGGGTATTTTATTTAATTCATATAAATAATATATTTGGTGAATTTTTATTTGCTTTTTTTTATTAATAATGAACTTTCCATTAGATGGTTGATGGTAGGATGAAAAAAGAATTAAAAGCAAAAAAGAAATTTGAAAATAATAAATCTTCCAAGAAAAAGGTTCCAAATAAACGAAAACGTCAAAAGAAATAAATTTTTTTAATTTAATAAAATCTTTTAATTTATTTAATTATTTTTTTGTTAAATTAAACCCTATTTGACATTATGCATAAATGTGAATCCTGACTAACAAATATATTGTAAATTACACACTTTGTGAAGCTAAAACCTCTTGTTGAATATTATATAAATCAATGGCAGAATTATTGCTGACAACTATACCAAGAACTATAATATTATACCCCTAACATTTGAGCTCCCGCAACAATTTGGAGATCCCAGAAAATATCTGAAATCGAAATGTTGACTTGATAGGCAGGAAGATCAGGAGTAGGATTCTGCAAGTGTCCATGCTGGGCGCTGTTGGCATCATGCCAGGCACTAGTGCCATTGCCCAAATGCCCTTTTTTTGATTTGTCACCAATGCTTCTTCTGCCTGTGCCAGTGCCTGCACCTCAATATTTTAGGCACATGCCAGTCATGTCCGCTGGATATTTTATAAGAGTGTGGCATTTTTAATAAATAAATTTATACTTTCGCAAAATGGTAGTTTATGTAATAGTCAAACAAATTAATCCAATAAAATATTAAAAAATTCTCTACTTTTTCAACCTTTAAATCTGATGTACATATATAGGAAAGCTTTCCTGATGAATTTAATGGGATAAAGCACATGACATCATGCATCGCAAAGTTGGGTTATACGAATAATAATGATAGTTCATTAAATAATCTTGGTTTAATTCTTTTCTCTTAAATACATTAAATTCTAGTAACAATAGTAATGATACTACTACTAATGGTAATAATGCTTCGTAACAAGTACACAAATCACATCCAGGTGAATATCATACAAGTAGAATATTAGATGAAGGGATTGTTACATAGCTTAAAAAGTTATGGAAGAAATGATAGTTCGTTAAATAATCTTTATTTTAAATCTTTTCTCTTAAATGCTAACAAAGGTGAATAAAAACTTCATTATTAATTCATTGGAAATTAATTATTACTAATAATATTTTTTAGATTTTAGTAATAGTAGTAAAAGAAAAAGAATTGATGAGTAAATTTGTTCATTGCATTGTAATTATTCCTTATAATATTTCTTATTTTGCAGTTTTTAATTCTTGTTAAATGGTGGTATTGCAATGTGGTCTTTTAGTTAATTCTGATTATTTGACACGTATAATTTTTGAGTTACTGTCAATTAAAAGCTTGTCGATTAATTAATTACGAATTTAATTTGGTTCTTGCCTACTGCCTCTTTCTTGTACGCGAATCTGTAAGCACATTTAATGGTATCAGATAACTATAAATAATAAAGGCGGTTCTTTTAAAAAGCTCAAAGGCTTTTTATAAAATTCATTTTATTCACTTGTGGCCGATTTATTTCAGTCATTTACCAGTTTATATTTCTTGGCCAATTACAAACTCGTTTTGGTTTGTTTATAAAACGACTTAAACAGCTTGTTTTTAACAGCCTCACGTATATAATTAACATTAACCCTTGGACAATGCTTCACTACTTACTAGTTGACTAATGTAAGTGCTAAAACTTTGCTTAATCACCAAAGTAAACTACGTTATTAATCGTTGTTAATACTCACTAGTTAATCGATGTTAGTCTTAACCTATTAAAAGCAAATAAACGTGGCTTTTTACTAAAGCGTTTTGAATGAAGAAAATAAAACCAACATTTTATTTTAAAGATTAATTTTATTTAAAATAATGATTGTTACAGAGTTTTATTTTATTGGAATGTTAATTGTGTACTGATTTTTCAAGCGAGAACTTGAATTTCCACATTTATGATTCAACATCATAGAGTTACCAGAATTTGAATTTAACGGTGATTCATTGGCCAAAACATCCCAATTCCATTTTCATACGTATATATATAACATCGTAATTATTTAGTAAGAATAAGTGTGTCTAACAATATTGTGAATATACAAGAAACACACAAGCACAATAATGTGTTGAAGTCACAAAAGAGTGCGGAAAACACAAAATTGTGGTAAAAGGACTCATAATTGAATTAATTGTATATAAGAGGCTTGAATTTGACATACTTGTAAAGTAACTTTGTAATAAAATTAACTTAAATAAGTTAATAAATTAGTTTCGACTAAATAAACTAAATAAGACGTTTTCTTCGTTAGTAATAACCAATTCATTCTGGATTCACATAATCATAAATTTAGCATTCATTTTGTTTTTTTAATCTCATGCTTCCCGAAAAATCATATTTTAATAATATTTAATGTATCTAATGTTTAATATTAAATATCAACATTAAGCATTTCTATACGTTTTTTTTCGTAAAGAAACCAAACAATTTGACAGGTAAAGTTTTTTCCGTTTTGATTTAGCAAGTACTTTATTTTTGCAAAGTTATTTTTTATACATGATTCATTTTGCTAATATGTTTTCACTTTCCTTCTTTTACCAAATAATTATTTATGCGAAGAATCTAAGATGATCATAAGCTACTTTAGCATTACTAACAAATATTACACTCTTTGTGAAGCCAAGACATCTTGTTGAATGTTATATAAATCAATGATAAAATTATTGCCGACAATTATATTATACCCTCTAACATTTGGAGCCCCTGCAACAATTGGAGGGTTCCAAAAAACATTTGAAATTGGAATATTCACTTGATAAGCGGGCATATTAGGACCATTACAACCAGTAGCTTGATTACTATTGTATTTTAAGGTTCCAAAGTCCCACTATCATAATGCAAAAGTTATATTTTAGGTTCTGAAATTCTTGATCACAAGAAATACTAACAGTGAATCTTACATTTTGGATGAATACTCCTGGCAACGTTGGTACTGTCATCACATTAATTTATGGATGATGAATTTTTTAAAATATGTTAACAAATCAGCAGAAAAATCAAAATGTATCATTTAGAGATGAACAAAGCTCAAATTAGTTTTTATAACTAGAACCAAGTCAAGCTTAAAAGCAAAGTAAAGAAAGGACAAAGAGAAACAATTTTTAAAAGTCTGAAGATTAAATACATTTTAAAACCACAATCTCGAAGCAGTATAATGTCTCGTGTAACATTGTTAAAAAAAAATATTCATTATTCGTCTAAAAAGAATGTCAACAACAACAACATTAACAGATAGTCTGACAGAATTATCATTGAATTTAAATCAAAGCATTCAATGTATTCATCAAGTTACAATCGAACAAGAAGAAAAAAGTAAGAGTAAAATTAAATATTTCTAATAATTTAACAAGTAATATATATATAATTTAACATCATATACATATTATGGAATAGATACAATACAACAAAATATTCATAAATTCTTACAATCAGCCAAAAATTTAGAGATTTCTTTAACAAAAGTAATCTACGAAGAACGGCAAACACCAGAAATAGCTTTAAAACAAGTATTTTTATCACTACTATTTATTAATCATAGAATTTTCATTCTGAGAAAATTAACTTTTTTTTTCATAAAAAAGGAAATTGAAAGTCTTTCACAAACACTATCAAGACAAAAGGAAGTCATTACCAAATACACTGATTTGATGAGAAAATGGAAAAGAGAATTTGAAATCATTGAAGAAGAAAATGATGGGAGTTCCTCCTGATTCAAGAATTCTTTAGATTATTTCAATTAGAAACAATGTTTTTCAATAATATGAACTATCCCAATCAATTTTTTTTTACTAATTTATACACTTCATTTTCTTTTATCAAGTGAGTTTTTCCAATATCTTTTCTAAGATCTAAGATTTAAATCCTACCAAAATAGCAACTACAATAAGGTCAATTATTAATACCTTCAAACAAAAATTTATTGAGTATTTATATCATCATAATTATAAGTTATTCTTTCCCTTGACTATGATGATATAATGCATGATTAAAATTTTTGACTACTTGATATTTCAACCTTAAAAATAAAACTTTATCTGTCTCAAATTGGTACACATATTCCAACATCATACAAACTAGACAACTACTACAACCTTTATTCCAATCTAACTTCAACCATTTAGACTTCAAAAGAAAAAATAATGAATGATCAATCAATTTTATTTTATTAATTATGATTGCATTTTTACCATTTCGAAAGCAAGAATATTTTGTTGTAGATCCTTGGATTGGGGCTACACAATAATAATAAGGAATCTATTTGTTAAAAATAAACGCGACAATTTTAGATTTTTTTTACCTGAACTTTATTAATTATTATTAATAAACATTTTTAGCATATCATTCAATTTAATAGATGTCTTTGTCTTTTTCGAAAAGAAGATTAATCTAACCTTTAACTCACTTAAAGGATACAATGCAATTTAAACAGAGTAGGGAAGTAGAAGGCTCTGGATTTTATTAAAGAAGTTGCATTCGAGCTTTTTATCTTTTTGAAAAGCTTGTGGAGTCTCTCGTATGTTCGGATCTTTTCTAACTTTACCATGTTTAGTATGGTTATAAATCCATAATTAAGCGCGTAAAGACAATTCTATTAAGGAATTATAAAATTGGGAGGGAAAAGTTTTTTTTTTTGATCCTTCAAATCAATGGGAAGAAAATTTTATTTATTTATTTTTGTGAATCTCAGAGACTTGAATAGATAGGCACACATTATTGTTTCGAAATCATGTTCCTAAAAAAAATTTATTTCTACATGGTCTTGGTATCATTTATTACCTGTGTGATGCAATTATTTGTTATGTCAATGATAATATCAAATTTATTGCATAACCATCATAAACATTGTAATAGACATATAGTATATGGAGGCATTCATGTTCAAGGAAAAGATCAAATAGTAATAAAAAGCTGAGTGATGTTTATTTATTTTATTTAAGATAATAAAAATATACTGTATATCTAAGAAAATTGTCAGAGAAATTGCATAAATCTAAGACTGCAACACTATGTCCAATTAAGCTATCAAGCTATTAGGTTTGTGCATGATTTAAAATTCTTTCGTATTTAAAGCCTCATCTTTCTTCACTTATATAATCTATTGATTCTCTTTGTAGGTAACATTTTACAATTCAGATTATTTATCCTAATATATAATAATCATTATAGTGTTCCATGTCGCAATCCAAAAAAGGAAACCAAAGTGGTCGCAACCAGGTGTCGCAAACCATTTTTATATGTCGCAAATATGGTTGCAACCATCATCAAGAATTGCGACCAGCATCTATATTTAATCATTGTATGATTTATATAACATAGTTCCGGAAACAAAGGAAGCTTGATTATTTTGAAAATGTAATTTTTCTATAACAATAACATTTTCTATGGTTATTGTGTGTTCCTGATCAATAATATGTAGAAAAGTTCATTGGTAAAGAGAGTTAGTTAATTTTGATATCTTCCCATTTGGTACAACGACTGAGAGCAACAAGCTTGTCCAGGAGCGAATGAATACCTGTTGATCAAGGCAGACGGATATACTTTGCAAGGTTAACCCTTGTGTTTTGTGACTGTTATACCATAAGCATTCTGTGAACTGAGTTCTGCTTGCAGGGTTTCCATTGAGCATAAAATTAACCTTATGCTTGGAGAGTACAGCGGAATGGACAAAAAAGACGACCTGAACTTGTTCATTATTAATACATAGTAAAAAACAGCTATACACTATCCATTTTTAGTTTAAATATAATTCCTTAACATGAGTGATGTGAAATGAGAATTGATGTTGCGACGCTGAAATTTCAGCACCATTTTTTTATTTTATGAATTATTAAAAAAATAATAAATGAATACATCTCAAAGAGAATTAATTTTGAAGAAGATCGTTTTAATGAATAGTATCAACACAAAAAAAATTTGTCCGTTACAATGTTTCGTATTTCAATTTTGTTTTCATCCTTCCCCAAAAATTCAGTTTACAAAAACTCGTTGACAAGCCTTGCTATTTGCTATCTGTCATCTGAGCAAAACTCCAATTTACAATCAGCAACATCAAATAGCATATTGCAGATTGAAAATTACATTTTATAAAAATGGTTTGTAGAGAATTTCCTTTTTTAAAAAACAAAAAAAGTTAGCGAGTTTTGAATGATTCACATAAAATTTCCAAGAAATATATGCATGACCAATTATAATTGTCAAGGTTTTCCAATATTTCTATCGGACAAAAAGTGTTCTATTCTGGAATTAGTTTTTATTAATGATTGTTAAATTAATTAATTATAATTGTATTTAAAAAGTTAAGCCAAATCAAATCCTTAATCGATCTTCGACATTTTTTATAGTCGTCTCGATTAAATTCTTTTGCTCTTCTCTAGAACTATTATACTGAATAATATTTGCTTGATTGAAGGGGTTTTCTGGCGATTTCTTTATAATATAATTTAATATATTGGTAAAAATAAATATGTCAGAAAAATATATCTTAAAAAATTATTTTTTGATTTCAATCCTAACCTGAAAATTTTTAAATAAAAGTTCATTCAATTGTGTATAACGTAAACCAGGATTTTCTTTTTTAAGCCTTGGCATTTCGCGTTCTTCATAAGCAGCCAAAGCTGCCTATATAAAATAAATAATCAATTAATAAATTGCTTACAACAATAACAATAACAATATTCTTGTTGTTATCGTCTCTCCCCTCAAAAAAGTTTTATTAAAATAAAATTTACCTTAAATCTTTTTTCTGGATGTTTTTCAATAATATTATTTGAAGCATTTGAGATTCCAACACTATTTAGATTGCCATTAGGAAATGATGCTTCTGTGGCAACTGAAAGTAAATCTATTGCATCTTCGATATTTGAAGCTGAATATTCTGGTATCACACGTCGTTCTTCTGAAGTAACTTCTTGTTTTTGTGTTCTTTTTATAGCTTTTTTCTAAATAATTAATTATTATTTATTAACAATTGATTCGTATTGCTAATAATGCTTTAAATAAATAAGAATACGCACTTCTTCACCAGTTACTTTTGGAGGTTTTAATATAGGCTTATACTTTGATAATTCTTTCTCTTCTTGTTCTAACATTTTTGCAGCTTCATTTTTTTTGGCCAATAGAGCCTCCTAAAAATAAAATATTTAGAAAACTAACTTTATAACCATTTGTATTAATATAATAATAATAATAACTTTACTTTTTTAATTCTTTGTGCCTCTTGTTTAGAAGTATTTTTAGCTCCTATTCCCCATTCTTGAGATTCTTTACGTTCCTTTTCTACCTGTTTTTTAGAAGCAATTTCTGCTTGGTGTGCTGCTTTACGCTCTTTTGCTGCAGTAACTATTTAATTTTTTTCATATCAGAAAATTAGAACATAAATATAAATATCTTATATATATATATATATACACACATTATTTATGTAATAATCTTTACCTCTAGTATTTTCACCTTTAAATTTTTTTGGCATTTTAACAAATTTATATTTATCCGCAGAACTAAATGTTACATCATAAATAAAAATTTTTTGAAAAAAAAATGAGTAGTAGTGATAAAAATGAAACGGTTTTAGAAAAAGATTTAACAGATGTTGTCGAATCGTCGTCAAAGGAAAATCAAAAAATACAAGAATCGAATAGTGGTGTTGATGATAATGATAACAACAACACATCTACACATTCAGTTATTCCTAAAATATCATTAAGGAAACCACAAGATGAAGACAAACAAACTTTACGGAAAAAAGGGTCAAAACATTCATTAAGCACTGATATTACACCATTACCGCAACAACAACAGCAAGAGAAGGAGGAGGTGGAGGGGGTGGAGGATCAAGAGGATCCATCATTATCATTTATAAACCATTCAGAAGATGATGAATCTTTAACTGATAGTGGTCATTTGGTGTCCTCTATACACACAAATGAATCAGGATCTGATAATAATACACATGACGATAATAACATGTCATTTATTACAGCAGATGGATCATCATCACCCTCACAATTATCAGAAGGTAGTGGTAGTATAGTGTCGTATCCTAATAGTGAAAATATAGATTCATTGGTGGTTACGCCTGAAATTTCATATCAGGATGAACATGAGCGTGAAGTTCTCGTTATGCCAGCTCCTGGCGAAACTCTTGATCAAATTCTAGCGCCATTGAATATTCCTGAATTAGAAATTGGAAGAAGGGAAAGAGTGAGAAGAAGAAGAAATGATGACGGTGACGAAAGTGATGATGACGAAAGTGATGAGAGTGATTATATCAATGATAAAATAGAATTTGTACCCACCCTATCAAAAGCTAATAATGTTAATAATAATGTTGATAGTAATAGTAATAGTAACAACAGAGTAACAGAATCTATTCCACCAACTTATACTATTGCTACAAATATTACTATCAATCAGAAAGCTTCTAGTGATGAAGTTAAACCATTATCATCATCGTCACCACAACCAATAACACCAACACCACCACAACAATCAACAAATAGAAGAGTATTACTACATCCAAACATTATGTCTGACTTAATATTTAGGCAAAGTTACTCTCAAGCACTTAACTTTCAAAACCAAGCTGATAATAACAACACTGGAGAAATGATTTTAACAATTTTCCAACACCAAATACTTTTTCCATTTTTACAAGGATTTAGTTGGGGAATAGGAGTTCACATTTATCGTTATTTAAGAAACGGATTTACACTTAGAAATATGTGGAGGTCAATTTTTAGTAGTGGTAATAGTGTTAGAACTGAATCTAATGGGTAAAATGAATGGTGAGCGAGTAATAAACAGTCTATTAATAATTTATTTATTTGCTATTTATTATATTTGATATTTGTTAATTATAATTATTGGCAAAAATGTAAATATTAGATTTTAAATTTTCTTTATACTAGTGAGGAAAAAAAGAATAAATAAAAATTAATTAATTCGGGTGGTAAAATCAGTCCAAGAATTCTCTTGTAGCATTGAATTCTCGCTCTGTGCTAAAAGCCTTGCATTTCAACATTTCTATTCCAATCTTTTGATCTTTTACATATAACCTTAAAATTGCACTTTTAACGAATAATTTCAAAATCTTGTTGCCAAATTCATCAATCTTGATCAACGAAGACAACTTATCAACATTTGTCAAAACATCGAAAGTTACACTTCTCCCGTCTATTTCAAATGCACATGTGCTGCTCAATGATGATTGCCAGATCTCAGCTCTGATGTCTTCAGACACTTTGATTGACTTGGCGATACTTTTTAATTTTTTTATATCATCTTTAGATAGCTGTAATTCCAAAGCTGGAATTGATGGCGACTCTCTATTATAATTTGTCGGTGTTGGAGGCGTTGTCACGCTTCTATTAAAAGATGGTGCTAATGTGTCATATCTGCATATTAAATCAGTATTATTCACTTGCACCAACAAATAATACAATGATCCTTCCCTGTTCTTGTACATTATTCGATTTCTCGCATCATTGTTGTTGATACTATTGGCGTTACCGCTATTATTGTCATCATCTTGCATCATATGATTAGAATTATTATCATCGATGTTTTCAAGTGATTTTTCAAGTGATTTTTCAAGTGATAGAGCTGAATTTGAAGTTCGTACATCCTTTAAGTGGAATAATATTTCATTTTTCAACTCAAAATCATCATCACCACGATGATGATTATTATTATCACCAACATCAAATCCATTTACCGTCAACTTTGACGCCAGCAACTTCTCAGTCAAACCTCTCAGGCGATAGAATCTCGAATCTTTTAATAAATTTTGTCGTTGCACTTCGCTCTTAATCTCTATATCGTAACCTTGAAGATACCTCATTATCTCGGCAAATAAATCTGGATCACGATCTATCATTGATGGTTTTAATGATGGTATAAATGGTAATATCTTTGTAAGTGAATTTGGCGGTGGTTCCCAATTACATTCGAATCCTATTTTATTCATATATAAAAAGAAATTGTTTGCACAAAAAAAAAATAAACAATTTTTTTATATAAAGAAAATACATTATATAATTATTTTATTTTTTTTGCATATTAACCTATAGAAGTAAAATAATTTGGTGTGTCACGGGTTTCTAATAATTACTCGTTTAACCATAGATCCGTCCGTTTTTTGAAGAAAACAAATATTAAAATATTAATAAAATTCTATTTAATGAGTGAAATGAAATAAACCAACAGTCCTAGTTGTATTACTTAAGCCTGCTTCTATTTTATAAGTTGGTAATAATAATAATACCCAAATAATCTGGTAGTTGAATAATAATAATAGCTGTTGTTTTCAAGATGTATTAGTAGTTGGTGTTATTGACTTATTATATTTGAACTTGCATACATTCAAAGACAAGAAGATTATTGATCCAAAAAAGTACATAGCATTTTGAAAAAAATTTAATACTAAGAGAAAAAGCGCGTAAACAAAAAATTAACTTTGTTATATTTTAAGCACATAGGATTCTTTGAGGATCTATAAAAACCAAGGATCCTTAAGCTCGAAACATTACTGATATAATTGTTTGCAGAATTGAAAGAATCACTGGTTTTGAGTTGCCAAATTCCAAACAAATCACACAATTTTATATAATACCTGGAAGAAAGTATTGGAACGTAATTTTTCAAAACACTGGTTAATAAAAGATAAATAAAAAATATATTTATGAAATTTCGTATGTAAAATTATTTTGCAGAATTTAGAAAAACTACGTTCCTCCAGGCAATGTACCTCCCCAATGTCTTTTTTGTTTGATTTTCTAATCTTTCAGCGGCTTCAGTGTCAAGAATCTTAAAATTAACTATTTCTCACCTTCACTATTAATGTCAATGAGTTGGTTAATTATATATCTTCAGGAGCAGGTAAGGCTTTCTTGTTGCAGAGTAAAGTTTCTCATGATTTAAAGAAATTTGATATTACTAGAGATCTGTAAAAAACACGACTTTTATTAATAAAAATCTTTTTTATTTTTATTTGCAATAATTCGTAACAATTGAAATTTAAACAGTTCATATATCTTATGGTTAAAAGCACCTAATGGCCTGAAAATGAAGATGAAGTATTGGTTTGATTGCCATCTTGGCTATCTAATTTGCAAGATCAGAGAGAGTTGTAAAAAGGCATGTTGGATATCAAATTCAAAAATTACATATGTACTGCCGAAATTGTTGATAGTATTACCTGTTGGGTCAACGAAAACTAGTCACATGCTTCATCAAAGTGTGGGACGGACCCTTTCTTCCATTTGTGGTTTTATTTAAAAAACGGTGTGACAGTTAATCAATAATTAATTGATTGAGATTATCCCCAAAAATTGATGAAAATTTTTTATTTTTAAAAAACATGTATATGTATCCGTCTTTTTATTTATTTGTTTCACTTCAAAATAGTTTTTCTTCAAAAAAACTAAAATTTGAGAAAATAAATTTCTCAATCATCGCTTATAAAAGTTACAAATGACAGTGTCAACATCTCCTACAATGACGACGACGACGACGACGACGACAACAACGTTGAATAACATAATTAATACTAAAGAATCATTAAATGCAACAAAATCATCAGAAAACAATAATGATAAATACAACGATAGTACCTATTATAATAGAATTAGAAAATACAACATTAGAGATGAACCGATTACATTGAATAATTGGTATCTTCACATTAATTGGTTGCATACTCCTTTCTTGATTGCAACACCTTTAATTAGTCTATATGGTTTGTACACTACGCCTATTCAATTCAATACTGCTATTTGGACCATATGCTATTATTTCATAACGGGTTTAGGAATTACGGCAGGTAAAAATTCGATATTTGCTTGTTATTATTATTATCTTTAATAATTAAATATATTATTATACCACAACCAATTAATTTATAGGACATCATAGGTTATGGGCTCATCGAGCTTATAAGGCTTCTCGTGCATTGGAAATATTATTGGTATTAGCATCATCTGGAGCTGTTCAGGGATCCGTACGTTGGTGGTGTAGAGATCATCGGGCTCATCATCGCTATACTGATACTGATAAAGATCCTTATAATGCAAACAAAGGTTTATTCTATTCACATATAGGTTGGATGATGTTAAAACCAAACCCCAATAACATTGGTAATGCTGACATCTCAGATCTTAGTGCAGATCCATTACTAAGATTTCAAAATCATTATTATGGTCTTTTCGCTGCTGTTATGGGTTTCTTGGTACCAACTTTGGTTGCTGGCTTAGGTTGGGATGATTGGTGGGTATGTATATAATATATAAAATAAGCAATCGTATAATAAATTTATATTTTATTTGTTGTTTGTTTGTTTGTTTATATTTATATTTATATATATTTATATTCAAATATTATATGATAGGGTGGATTTTATTTTGCAGCAATTCTTCGTTTAGTTGTAGTGCATCATGCGACATTTTGCGTCAACTCATTGGCTCACTTTTTAGGCGAAACAACGTTTGATGATCGTCGTTCACCACGTGATCATTTCTTGACAGCCATTTTTACTTTGGGTGAAGGATACCACAATTTTCACCATGAGTTCCCGATGGATTATCGTAATGCAATCAAATTCTATCAATATGATCCTACCAAATGGTTAATAAAATTATTATCTTATTTTGAATTGACTCATCACCTGAAGAAATTCCCAGACAATGAAATCAATAAAGGGAAATTATTAATGAAACAAAAAAAATTGGATGATGCAAAGAAAGATTTATATTGGGGTATTCCACTAAGTCAATTACCCGTTTATACTTTTGATGAATGTAAGTGATGTGTGTGTATATATATATGTGTGTGTATTTATTATTATTACTACGATTTAATTAATAACTTGATTTTTTAAATAAAAAGTCAAAGAAAGTGCAAAAAATAATAAATTGATATTGATAGAAGGTATAATTATTGATGTGACCGATTTTATCGAGGAACATCCAGGTGGAAAATCAATAATTGCCACTTCAATAGGCAAAGATATGACAACAGCGTTTAACGGTGGTATTTATGATCATTCTAATGCAGCTAGAAATTTGATGGCTAATTTCCGTGTTGGTGTAATTGCTGGTGGCGGAGAAGTTGAATGTCGTAAATCAAGATAATTTATTATTCTTGGTTTTTTTTTTTTTAAAAAAAAAAAAACTTACAATGACGACGACAACAACAATTAAATATTATAGCATTTATCAATTGGCATGTAATTACTTTTCATTGAAAATATTTTTTTTCAATTAAATTCACAATATATTCTGTGTGTGTATATATATATATATGATATTATATTACATAATATATATGTCGAATTTTTTTTTGGACATCTGTTATATGACATGTTTAAAAATTTAATAATCTTTATTTTGATTGATATATTGTCTTGATATTATTAATCCAAATATAATGAATGTTAAATACATAAATATGTGCAAAAAAGATTTTCTCGGGGGGGGGTTTAATTCTTTGTGTTTTTAAGAAAGTAAAATTATTTATTTAATGTAACATTTTAATGTAGTGAGGTGAGTGAGTGATAATAAAAAAAAACGAATAGGCAGTAGATAGATTATGTTTAAAATTTATTTTCTGTGATAAATAAAAGAATGAGCGAGTGTCTTTGAAGATTTTTATTTGATCAAATAATGTCATTGATAATGTCTTCAGTCAGGTACATTAGAACTCTCTCTAATAACAAATTTGAAAAACAATAATTCTTTTGTCCCACCAAGTTTCATGTATCACGTTATTTGTAATTGTTGATTATTTTTGGCAATAATAGTCGTGTGCGATGATATCTATATACTCAATGTCAACCAACTAGTGATGACCAACTTTGAAAGCACACACACGCATACATATCTAGCCTCTGTAGTAGCTTTTCGACTTTAACGAATAAAAATGATATTGACACACATCCTCTTTTACGTTAAGCTAAACTTTTAGATAGATAGATAGATAGTGGGGTACGTGATGCAGTTTTTTTTACTCGGCACGGACGGCGTAATTGGTCTATATTAATATATAACATATTTACTAAAATTAGTAACGACGATCCTTTTAATTAATAGTAATGCGAAACGATAAATTATATTTATTTATTATTCCATCGCCCTGAAGGTTTCTATTATTCTTATTATATAAATAAGTAGTTGGGGGAAAACACCATGATAATCCTGCTGCTATTGGATTTTTGTTTTGTTTTTTTTTGCATTAAATATGACTATAAATCAACATTACTTATTAAATCAATCAATTATTCCTTGAAGGCATTGAAACTATATATCCAAAAAAAAAAAAGGTTTTCCAATTCACAACATAGTTTGGGGACGTGATGTCCATATAGCCAAATTGCGGTTAATTAATTAATTGGTCTAATCAGTAATTGGCTGGATAGTATTAGTAGAATTAGTAGAACAGTAAGTAGGTTTTAAGAAACAATAATAACAATGATAAGTTAGAACAATATTTATTTGCACGTACAAATAAACAATAATCAATAGCATAGCATTGGGAACCGGCAAGTCTTTTATCAATTTTATTTTTAAATCGGGAGATTACTCTATAACTGACCAATCAGATGAAATGTTACTTTAAAATTAAAAAACAAAAAATAAACACATTTTTAAATACAAAAAAAAACTTTAAAAACGGTATATTCCCAAATTTTTATCGAAATTTTTATTTTATTTTATTTTATTTTTACGCCATCTCAAACTTATTTTTTATTATTTGTTGGTCAAATTTCAACAAATCAACTAACAATAAGCCATTCCATCTTCTCCAATTATTTATTTGTAACAAAAATGTGAGCATACGTACACACACACACACACACACATACACACACACACACACACATACACACACACATACACACACACACACACAAAATAGTTTAAAGAAAGAAAGAGAGCGAGCGAGGAACAAGCGAGTACCGTCATCAAAACCAAGCCAAACAAATCATATATCATTGTTTATTTTGCACATGCTTAATATCAATAACAACACAAAATATATTTGCAACACAAAAAACAAAAAACCATAGTAATTCTCGACGAATGAAATTGGGCTTTATCTTTTTATCTGATATCAGGTATTAAAACAATGGTACAATTATCGGAGATTTTTTTTTGTTCGCTTACCATTGTATATAATACCCAAATACATCGAAATCCAACCAATTATTCACAAATATAAACACATACACATAACACAGTACACATCTAATTGATACATGCCTGATATAGTTAGTTTTAGTGGCAAAATATTAATATTTAAAGAAAATAACACGCAAATGCTTTATTATGATAATGCATTGATTACATTGTACATTAAAATGGTTCCATTTAGACAAATAAATGGGCGAGTGAACGAGTGCAAGTTTTCTAAGTGGCAAATATTGAAATCGACTTTAAAAGGTAAATTAATTTTTAAAAGGGATGAAAATCATTCATGACGTAAATCGTGTAACCAATCGAAATATTAATTAAGCATGTGGACAGTGGACAAAATGGTAAAAGAACGGGGCGGATAAATGAACACTTTATAATGATTAATTAAATATTAATATTAATTGAGTCATTTGGTCGGTCAGTTGGTTGACTGGCCGGTCGGTCGGTCGATCGGTCAGTCGTTTGTTTGTTTGTTTGTTTGTTTAGCGTTAGTTGGTTAGTCGAAAAAAAGAAACCGCCAAAAAGTCAAAAAAAAAGAAAGCATTTATATTGTTACTGTCAGCTTGTAAGTTCTAAAAATACACTCAATTAGGATTTATTTACTTACTATTATTGTTTTAACATCAAATATGATTAAATCAATTAAATATTTAAAAAATCAATTAAATATTAAATCAATTAAATATTAAATCAATTAAATATTAATCCTAATCTGGTAAATTTAAATATTTGATCAAAATCCATTTATTGAATATAATTCAGAGTTTATAGTGTTGACATTGAAGAATAATTAATTCTATAACGAGATTATTGTATAATCCGAAATAACAATTATAGTAAAACAATGAAGTGAATGATTGTTGATTAATAATTTTTGAAAAATTCGAAAATAAATAAAAAATAAAAATAAATAAAATTTGTTTATTTATAAGTTCTTTGTTATTTTTAAATTAATTAATTTGACATTATTCAATTTATATAATCATTTATGCCGGTTTATGATTACAAACACATATGCACACAATTTATTTCTTATATTATTATTCGAGACAAAGAATCTTTAATAAGCTTTCTTTTTTATTGCTGGGTTTTGAATTTGAATTTGATCTGATTTAATCGTCCAAATAAATTGGCCATAATTGTTTATTTAATTTGCCCCAGTTTTTCGTTCTCGCAAATAAATCCCTTTGTGTTAAGACAATATTCTTGATTTATTCCTTTGATATATAATATATATATATATATTGTATTGTATTGTTAATTTCAAAATCATCCCATCATCCATCAAACCATTATTTCCTCCACACTTCTAATTAGCCCAAACGCCTTTATCATCGACCCCGCGCGGTATTATCTCATTCTACATATAATATAATTCATAATTCATATAAAATTTAATTTTAAAAAAAAAATTTTTCTATGCACATCAGTTGAGGAAGGAAGATCTTATAAAAAAATGTTAACACGCGGCCAAACTAAACCTAATTTTATTATTAATATAAATATATAAAAATGCATAATATTATTATGCATTATTATTATTATTATTATTATTATTATTATTATTATTTTTATTATTTTTTATTATTTTTATTATTAATTATTTTTTTTCTCAAATCAAAATTTATTTAAAAAAATTTAAATTTAAATAGTAAATATTAATAAAAAAGGCGGGAATTTTTCATTATTTTTAGAGCAATTAATAATAATTGTATTTTATATATGACGATGAATCATCATCATCATCAATGAATGAAAAAATACTCGAGAAAAAAATTAAAAATAAAAAAAAATAATTCACTAAACTTGGTAAAAAAATTTACAACTGCATTGAACAAGCTGATTCAGCAACATATGAACAAATTATTCTGCTATTTATTTTGCTATATATATGTTTTTTTATGCGAGTTACCATCTATTTACCATACTCCCCTGTCATATTTTCCCATCCATCATTATTTTCATTTACATGATTTGCGTTTAAAATTGACTTTTATGGTTTATTAATATCTTTTTTGATGATTTTCTTTTTTAATTGCCCAAATCTTCTTTTTGCCATTTTCATCACTCGAAAATCTATTGTTCTCTTATATACTCTGGCTCTTTTTATGATGCCAAATAAAGCATACTTCCCCCAATATATATATATACACTTTATGTAGTAAATATGTGTGTATGTATGTATGTATATATGTATGTATATGCCAAATATGCCAAATATATTATATATGTAATCATGAAGCTGTGAAACTAACCTAACCAACTAACTGCATCTACAAGTATAAACACGTATGAAAATAAACGTCTTACATTAAGTTGTCTGACGAACGAAGTAAATTTGCAATGCTTAAAATATTTAGGTAAGACATTAGTAGCAAATTCATCCATGTTACAAATCACAAACACATCACCAGTATCATTCCACGTTAAATATTCTTTATATTCATCACCATCAAGAAGTCTATTGAATTGATTGATTGATTGATTGATTGAGTGATTGATTGATTGATTGAGTGATTTGTTGATTGATTTAAAATTAAAATTTTTAAAAAATCACAAGTGCACAAACAACTTACTGATATAATTTAGCAACAAAAGTAGACACAGTGTCAAGATCATATTTTCCATTTTCTTCTTGGAATAAAGAATCACCACCCTCGGAACAAGTTGATGATAGATGAGAAGAAGAGTTTGAATCAGGATGATAAGTTTGAAATGATAAAACTTCATTTGATTGAGAAGGCATTATGTTTAATAAGTTATTTGCAAGCTGTTTACTTTCAGTTGCCGCTGTCT